CCTCCCACCAAACCACCGCCAGCCCCCCAGCCTGGCCTTGCAGCCGCCTCCCACCAAACCACCGCCAGCCCCCCAGCCTGGCCTTGCAGCCGCCGCCTCACACCTCTGAGTCTGCAGCCCCGCTCCTTCCCTCCACAAGGGTTCCTAGGATTTCAACTTCCTGACTCAGTCTCTAGGCTGCCCAAGTACCAGAACCAGGCCTGCTCTGCGCGTCTGCTGCAGTAATCTACAGTCCCAGAGCATCTGTGACGAGGGGGTGCCTGTGATTGGGTCAGGTCAGTCAGAACGCCAGTTCTAGTCCCTTCCTTCCCTGCAGTTCTGGCTCCTGGGCAGAGGCTGGAGTCTGAGTGGCGGCGGGCAGTGCTGGCAGCACCACGCACAGGCTGCCGGCCGCAGCTCTGCTGAGCCCACAGAGGTGGCTGGCCTGACCTTTCGTGGCTTGCTGAAGTAGCAAAGAAAATGGACACACAGAAACCAAGTCGCCCACTCTGAGCCTGGCGGTGGCACTTGCTGGCACTGGCCGGTGAGCTTGCGTGTGGTGGCAGCCCAGCAAGCCCTTCATCCGGTCCTGGCTGCCGCAGAATCCGTGGGGGTGGGGGTGGGGGAGGCGGGGTGCACAGCCAGCCTGGGCTCCCCAGACTTTGTTAGCACAAGAGAGGTATAGCAGGAGGCCCTTGGTCTCTCCCTTGGAGGGGGGAGATCAGGGAGGGGCGGCCGGACACCGGTGAGTGCAGGGTAAACCCAGTGTGCTGGTCTTAGCCCAGGCGTGGTGACGGGCTGAGATGCAGAACTGGACTTGGGGAAGTCGAGGCAGGGCTGGGGGCGGAGGCGGCCACGGTGGGCCTGGGGATCAGACAGGGTGTGGGGCCTCCACCCGGCCTGCTGTTGGCACGCGGCCCCCTGCTGTACCTGTGTCCTGGGCCCCCCATTGTACCTGTGACCTGGGCCCCCCGCTGTACCTGTGTCCTGGGCCCCCCATTGTACCTGTGTCCTGGCCCTCCCATTGTACCTGTGTCCTGGGCCCCCCGCTGTACCTGTGTCCTGGGGCGCTGGGCACCAGGTGCGTCAGCAGCCGAGGCTGGTCCTGGCAGATCTCCGTGGGCCACCGTGGGGCTCTCACAAGCACCCCTGCCCAGACTGGTGTGGAAGGAAGGAGGGCTGTTCTGGCCACTTTCCATTTTTCTTTGAGATGACTCTGAGACTTCTAAAAGGAAACAGATAAAACCAGCACATCCGACATGGGCTCCAGGGTCAGACTCTTGTCCTCCGCCGGGCTGCACCAGAGACCACCACCGCTCCGTTACCTGGCCTTTAGCGGAAACAAATGAGCCCGCCACCATTCCGGTTAGAGAAATTGGAAAACACACCACGGGTCTCTTTGCGGAGCTGGGCTGAAACCCGGGGCTCACAGCTGGAGGGCAGCACCCACGCCCCAGCCTCTTCCTGCAGCTGCTGGGGTCAGGCAGGAGACTGGAGCAGAACTCTGTACGAAGCACACGGGGCCACCAAGGGGGAAGGGACTCCCCTCCCCGGGACTTCCCCCGATTCCCAAATCATCCAGCCAACAGGTTCCTTCCAAAGTCATTATTCATAGGCTTTAGAAACAGGCGTTAGAAAAATACAATGACTGAGGGCCAGGGAAGGCCCCACAGGCTTCGGAGGGCACCTGAGCGGCTGGGGCTCAGCACTGGCTCACCATGAGGCCTCCTTCGAGCGAGGCCCAGGGGTCCTGGTGTCCAGGAGACCATGTCTACCGCCCTTCCTGGAGGCTGGCCACAGCTGCGATGACTGCCCCACACGGTATTCACACGAGAGTAATTTAATCTGCTGAACTGCAGGCTGGCTTTAAACTGTGATCCTCAGATCTCAGCCTCCTGAGTAACGAGGATTATAAGGCATGAGACACAGGTTCCCTGCCGTCAATGTAAAATGTGCGTGCACTTTACCATGAGTTGGTTACAACTCTGCAGCTGAGCTTCCTTCCTGCAGGGGGTGCCTGCTGGAGGCCAGGCAGTGAGGCCTGGCTTCAAGGTCACAAGGCCAAGCTTCAAGGTCACACCTGTGTGCTCTTCTTCACATGAAAGTCTCAGTTCTTTTTTTAAATTCTAGAAAATGTACTAAAATATATTTCAAGAAATGTCATAAACTCACTGGTTAACATGGCTTTTTAGGTTCCTTTTTTTTTGTACTGGGGCTTAAACTCAGGGCCTTATGCTGTTTCCTAGCTTTTTTTGCTCAGACTAGTGCTCTACCACTTGAACTACAACTTCACTTTTGGCATTTTGTGGGCTAATTGGACATAAGACTCTCATAGACTTTTCTATCTGGGCTGATTTCAAACTATGATCCTTAGATTTCAGCCTCCTAAGTAGCAAGGATTGTAACCAGTCACTAGTGGCAGTTTTGTGTTACTTAAAAAAAAAAAAAAAAGCAGATAAGGCTGGGCACTGGTGACTCCTGCCTGTAGTCCTAGTTACTTAGGAAGCTGAGATCTGAAAATCACCATTTGAAGCCAGCCTGGGCAGGAAAGTTCATGAGACTTTTTATCTCCAGTTAGCCACCAAAAAGCTGGAACTGGAGCTATGGCTCAAGAGATACAGTGCTAGTCTTGAGCAAAAAAAGCTCAAGAACAGGGCCCAAACCCAGGACTGGTAGACACACACAAAAGCAGACAAGGTTTAAATGATGCTTAGCTTTGGAGTAAGGTAAGGGCTGAAGGCACAGTGCAGTAGCAGAACATGAACGTAGCAACAACAATGCCAAGACACCATTCCAATTTCCAGCACCAAAACAACAACAACAAAAACAACTCAAGAAAACTTGAGCCATCTCTGTTGATTTTGTAACAATTCAATGGCACATGTGTAGGTCCTGGCCTAAGTCACCCATGAAACAAGAGAGGTGGCAGGCTGTACTCTTTCCCTAAAGATGTTTGGCATGGAGGCCAGTCAATCATGAAGTTAATTAAGTGCTCAAAATCAATGACAATCCCACTACTTTTTATTTATTTTTTTGTTGTTTTGGTGGGTCATGGGGCCTGAACTCTGGGCCTGGGCGCTGTCCCTCAGCTCTTCAGCTCAAGGCGAGTGCTCTACCACTCGAGCCATTGCACCACTTCTGGCTTTTTCTGCTTATGTGGTGCTGAGGAATCGAACCCAGGGCCTCATGCATGCAAGACAAGCGCTCTACCACCGAGCCACCTTCCCAGCCCCCACTACTTTTTTCGACAACATGATTCTATTAACAGAAGACAAGACACAGGCATATACTACTAAAAACCTAGTAAGCAGACCACGGCTCTACTTCTGTCAATAAAGGGCTGTTAATTGTGTACCAGGAAATAAGATGGACCATAAGAAGAGTATTTCCCAATCTGAGATAAACTCGGTTTTAACTTCTGTTTATTAGCACAGTTAATCTGAAAGCAATCACCAATGCTTGTTCACCTGTGTCTAACTCAGCTCTCTGGGGCCCTGCGGCTACCAGTTACCTTCCCAAGTCCCTGGCGCTACCTGGACTGCAGCCTTGGAGGTTTTCCTTTGCGGCTTAGAACTCATTGTAGGGATGACAAGCCCCAGGCTTACTCACTCTCAGATGTATCCTTCTGGAAGGAAACATGTTTGTTGATAACAGAAGATTAGGAAAATGAAAGCAGGCCTCAGTGAGACCCTCGCAGGATCCCCTTGAAAAATCTGCATGACAAAGGGCAGGCTGGATATGGCTTCCAGTTAGTTTTGTTCTTCTATATGTTCTTCTATAAAAGACACTTAGCTGAGCTGGGCGCCAGTGGCTCACACCTAGTTACTCAGGAGGCTGAGATCTGAGGATCACAGGTCGAAGCCAGCCTGGGCAGAAGAGTCTGTGAGACTCCTATCTCCAATAAACTACTCAGAAAAAGACAGAAATGGTGGTGTGGCTCAAGTGGTAGAGCACTAGCCTTGAGCACAAAGAGGCTCAGGATCAGCACCCAGGCCCCGAGTTTAAGCCCAGACTGGGGGAAAAAATAAAAGACACTTCACTGAAGTCAGTTGCTTGAATTGTCTCACTCGGTGCTCTCAAAGATGAGTTTCTATGCGCATGTTAGGCAATGTGTCATGGTAAAAGTGTGGCTTGTTTTTTTCTGGAAAGTAGAGGAGGACTGCTGAAGGAAAGCGGGTGAGAAGCCACAGCATCCTCTCACGTGCATCTGTTTGGGGAGAGGTCACACATTTAAGACAGGTGTCGGCCTGAATCTCCTCGCCCGGTCCTGCAGGTGAGCACTCACCAGACGCTGCCAGACGGCCACAAAGGGAGGGCAGAGGAGAGGGCTGGGAAGCACAGCCACACCCGTGAAAATCACTGGGAGACCACAGCAATGCCCCTGACACTTGGTAATGGGCCCTAAGCAGTAGAGAGGCCTACTATTAATTATATACTTCCTGGAAGTATATAAGTCCTGGAAGGCAAGCAGGACTACCTCGGGACGCTGAGACACAGGCACACTGGGTCGTGACAGTGACCACAGGGCCCTGGGACCTCACCGAGGGTCTGAGGGAACATGGCCAACCACAAGGAAAAGCTTGGAAACCCACAAACCAACAGTGCAGACTCCTGAGCGGGAGGAAGGCCTGAGATCAACCCCCTTGAAGAGGAAAGCAAACAGCCAAGTGGTATGTATGTAGGCCAGGTGTGAAAACCACACAATCCAGTCCTCGCCTTTGAGCTCCTGCTTGAACCCAGCTGACAAATCTACCTCCACTGCTGAGCCGGAAGAATTCAGGGAGCCAACGGAAGAGCTGGGCTGCACGGAGGCAGGACAGATTAGGGAAAACGAGGCATGGTAAAGGCGACCAGGAACGAAAAAAAACAAAACCACAGCCTAAAGCTAACACAGGAGATTCATCTTCACTCAACTTCCCTTAAGATTAAAGGAGGGGGTGGGGGGAGGTGAGGGAGGGTAGGGGGTGGAGTGGAAAATGTAGTTGAGGAGGTGGGAGGGAAGGGATGGTAGGGGGAAAACAAAGGAGGCAACAATGCTTGATGAGAACTGTACTCATGACCTTGCTCACGTAACTGTAACCCTCTGTACAGTATTTTCACAATAAAAAAACTTATTAAAAAAAAAGATTAAGGGACCAAAGTCATTTTCAGACAAAATGGGGCAGGGCAGATGAGGGAAAATAATGTGAATGGCAGCCAGGAATTTAGAAAGTGTGTTTAGAAACAGAACTATCACTGGGCACCGGTGGCTCACACCAGCAATCCTAGCTACTCAGGAGGCTGAGATCTGAGGATCACAGTTCAAAGCCAGCCTGGGCAGGAAAGTCCTTGAGACTCTTATCTCCAATTAATCCTAGAAACCTGGAAGTGGTGCTATGGCTCAAGTGGTAGAGCGCTCACCTGGAGCTGTTGGGTGCAGGGACAGCACTCAAGCCGAGTTCAAGACCCACAGCTGACAAAAATAAACAATGATCTTCTTTGTTTTAACCCTTGGACTGCTTCATAAGCTGTGGTGTTAACACAAGGGGGAAAAAGGAGCAAGAGCAGCTCTCTCCATCTGACTTTGGCTGCTGGCCCCAAGCAATTAATGTGTTGGAGAAACAACATCAGAAAAAGACACGTGTCCTGGAGAAGCAAACACTCAGGACAAAGACTCCGCCTGGCACCACGTGCTTGCCGCCAAGGAGAAACACCAGGTTTCCAACACACGGCGGAATGCATGCTTTCCTGAAAGGCAGGCCCACACACAATGAGCAGTCTGAGACCCGGAGCCCAGGTGGTAGCAGTGAAACGCGACACAAGAGCATCCGGAGCAAAGACGCTCAATGTCAGACCTTGCCTTTATCATATCAAGAGATGGACGTCAAAGTGCCCAGGGTGTGTCTCCCTCTGGGAGCACCCACAGTTAGAGTGTGCCCCTCCCTGCCTTTGGCTTGTCTGTCTGCTTGCTCACTCATTCAATAAAGCGCTGCCAGGTTTTCTTGCCATTACAACTTGTCCAGGCATTCTCACTATGTGATTGAGGTGTCAAGGATCCTAAGAGGGGAACTTCACCCCTCACCCGCACCCAGTGACGGCACGTGTCCACCACACGTGGGCAGCCATGGTGGGCACAGTGCACACGGTCCTCTGGGAGGGATGTGCAGTAGTCCAGGGGGCTCAAAGGGCTCCATTATCCCTCCCCTCCACACCACAGTCTACGAACAGGGCACAGGGCACAGGACC